AGGGTACATTGTTTACAACATACCAAATGCAGTGGATTGCAACTGTATTTGCATTTTTTGTTTGTATTTTTTTTTTACTAAAATATGTTACTTGTACTCTCTTTCAGTTTATTTGCTTTGCTTTCCAAAAAGCACAACAAGGTTTTGGAGCAGGCGACACAATCTCTACAGGGTAGACAGGGAGACAACACTGCCCTGCCAGACTATGTGAGTAAAACACACTCCAACACATTACTACACACAGACTTGCTCTCAGTAAGGTTAATGATGGCTGCCAAATTATGTCTGCTTGGAGAAAGCAATTTGACACATGCATTTGATTGCATGCATTATATGAAGCCAAATTAATATAAAGTTTAGCACTAACATTTTAATATAAAAATAAGTATCTGTAAATAATTCAAAGTTAAATAAATATTTGAGGTAAATAGTTCCCTGCTGGCTGGCTGCTGTTCTTCAGAACTGAGTCACACATTTCATATCGTCATGTCAGGTAATTCAAGTATTTTTTTAGACTTGTGAAGCTTCTCATTGATGTTGTTCCTTTTTAATTAAAATTTAAAGAAAAAACATGGGACTTTCCCGAACATGCAGTTTTATTAGTTAACAGTATTTGCATGTGGGGGGAAATAATATTGGAAAAATAAAGCAACACCAGAGCTCGCAATCAACCGGTTCTTCTCTAATGTGTTTTGTCTCCAGCTACTGTTATGCTTGGCACATTTAACTAGTAAACTATTTAAAAATGATTAGAGTTTGCCACATGCGGTCCCAGGTGTGGTAACTACTTCCAGTTCACAGACAGCAGTAAGCTGTGTAAACAACAAGGCAGAGCAGGAAGAAGGATGTAATAGTTTTGATCAGCAGCAGTTTTTCTGGCATGCTTCTACTGGGGCAGTGCAGAGCTGATCTCAAGGAGCAGACAGATGTCTTCCCACTGAAACACCCTGGTTTGTGTTCATATACTGGATTGTTGCTATATATTTCAGAAAAAGGCTTATTTTCTTTCATCATGTCTGTCTTGGTAGTGTTGACATTTATATCTATTTATTTTACTAGATCAACCTACTTGTTGCTCATCTTTGTATAAAAGAAGACATCAAATTGGAGAGCTTTAAAAAAACTGATATTAAAGGGGCAATATCATATAAAATCAACTTTTTTGAGTTTTTGTATCATGTTATAATGTTTTACTCTCATAAAAACATGCCCAAAACCTTGCTTTGACTCATTCATGCATGTTTGAGAAATCATGGAGCATTTTTAGGCAGCCATGCTGAGGAGCAAAACGACAGGTGGGGACCAGAAACGCCCCTGGGTTGTGTCCTTTTGGGACAATCTTCTCCTCTGGGATGTGTCTTTAGGCCGAACTTCCTCATGGCGAAGGCCCCCCCCCCACACACACACACACACACACA